AAAAAAAAAAAAAAAAAAAAGAATAAACAAAACGAAAGAAACTTTTGGAAGTGATAGATAAGTTTATGCCATCAATATTGATTATGGTTTGATAGTGTCATGGGAGTAACTTACCTCCAAACTCACTAGTTATATATAGAGTTTTTTGTATGTGAGTTATATCTGCATAAAGTAATTCTTTAGAAAAAGGGAACCATGCTAGTTAAAAGTTTGAGAAACACTGGTATAGTGCAACTTCTAGAAGAAAAAAATGTGCCATTTTTAAAAGTCTGTACACATGAACCTCTTTCCAGATGCTACCTGGTACTTAGTGACCATGGTATTTATGAGATTTCAAATAATACTGTATCACTGGTCTGTGAAGAACTTTGATTTTTTAAGAATAAATGTTTTTTGATGTCTTAACTGAATTGAAAAATAAAAACATTTTATTCATAACATAATTTCCAATAATGTGACAAATTTGTTTTAATTCCATAGGATGGCTTCTGGAAACTCACACCAGAGCTAGGATGTATATTAAATCTTAATATAGATGCTTTACAGAGCTTTCTTGAAGAGAAAGGCATTCAATCTCTAGGTAAGTCACTATCTTTCCATTCATTAAGTCATGATTTTTATTCATTCATGCTCCTAATTGTTATAAATTCTTGTGTAAACTAGTATATTAATATAATAATTATGAAAATTACGTATGAGTGGAATTATATTTGTTAACCATCAAAGGACTTAGGAGACTGGTTTTGTCATATTTTTACCACTTATGGTCTAAGCAAATTTATTAGCATAACTAGCACTAATTGCTGTTTTTTTAATTTAATTTAATTTAATTTTTTTTTTTTTTTGAGATAGAGCCTCAAGCTGTTGCCCTGGGTAGAGTACCATGGCATCACAGCTCACAGCCACCTCCAACTCCTAAGCTCAAGAGATTCTCTTGCCTCAGCCTCCCAAGTAGCTGGGACAACAGGCACCCACTACAATGACCAGCCATTTCTGGTTGTAGCTGTCATTGTTGTTTGGCAGGCCCGGGCTGGATTTGAACCTGCCATCTCTGGTGTATGTAGCTGGTACCTTAGCCACTTGAGCTAAAGGCACCAAGCCAGCCAATTGCTATTAAAAAAAAAAAAAAAAATCTCAGTAGCTTAGCATAGTCAGAGATTATTTCTTTGCCCATATCACATTCAAATATTAGTCATTTAGAAACCTTGTCTCCTGGCTTGGTGCCCATAGCACAGTGGTTACGGCACCAGCCACATACACTGAAGTTGGCAGGTTCGAACCTGGCCCTGGTCAGCTAACCAACAATAACAACTGCAACAAAAAATAGTTGCATGTTGTGGTAGACGCCTATAGTCCCACCTACTTGGGACTCTGAGGCAAAAGAATTGCTTGAGCCCAAGAGTTTGTGATGCCACGGTACTCTACTGAGGGTGACACAATGAGACTGTCTCAAAAAAAAAAAAAAAAAAAAAGAAACATTGCCTCCTTCCATAATGCGGCTTCACCACCTTTAATATGTGGCTGGTGAAAGGGAAGGAAAGAGAGATGACCTTGGCATCACACCCTAATAAACAGCAGGAGGGACACAAATGACAAAGCCCCACCCAGCACAAAGGGGCTGGGAAATGTACTTTTTTAGCCTTGTGTCCAAGACAGGAAAATAGCTTTGATGAGCATCTAGCCAGCCTCGGCCAGAGGCTATTCAACCTCTAGATCGGTTTATTATGACAAACAAGGAGACAGATGAGGAGGTCCTAGGCCAAATGAGAGCCCTAGAATAAGAGATTTTTTAAAAAACAAAATAGACATTATTAAACAACTAGCTAGCAGTCATCGATAAAGACAACAGCCACGTCTAACTGCTCTGACACACCCCTAGAATTTCAGGGTGCTCATATTCCAGACTGAGTGGTGGGTGGATGCCCAGCCTCTGTGACCTGCACTAGGCTGGAGGGATGACATTTCACAGGAGCCGAGGTTGCTTATTCCTGGAGTAATAGAAGAGTTTGCATCTGGCCAAGTCTTATCCCAATCAGTTATTAACTCTGGGCAGAACATTTAAAAACCATTCTTTGAAGGCCTGGAACATAATCAAAAACAGTCAGAAACTGGAGAAGACACAATCTTTGAAAGAAGGGAAGTAAACTAGGTGAATTCCACATTTATCTAGTGTTTCACCTACAGACATTTCTTGACTCCAGGGGCACATGGAAGATTAGAACTAAAACAGAAAGAAAGTCTCAGTGGAAAAGGACATGGGGGCTCGGCACCTGTGGCTCAAGTGGCTAAGGCGCCAGCCACATAAGACCTCAGGTGGTGGGTTTGAATCCAACCCGGGCCCACCAAACAACAATGATGGCTGCAACCAAAAAATAGCCAGGCGTTGTGGTGGATGCCTGTGGTCCCAGCTACTTGGGAGGCTGAGGCAGTAGACTCGCTTGAGCTCAGGAGTTGGAGGTTGCTGTGAGCTATGATGCCGCAGCACTTTACCCAGGGGGAAAAGCTTGAGGCTCTGTCTGAAAAAAAAAAGGAAAAGGACGTGGGGTTGGAGCATGAGGCAGCCATCTGGCTGCAAATTAGGGGTGAAAATCTTACAAAGGAGGGAGACCTGAATCCAAATATAGATTCCCCTCAGATCCTTGACTCTCCCCTAACCTATATACCAGGCATCCTCAAACCACTACGGCCCCCTGTGGGCCATATGCGCCAGATTAGGACATTTATCTGAGCCGCCAGAAATTTTTGCCGCTGCTGCCTGTCCTGCTTAGCAGCCGACTTGTTCTGGGCCCTGCAGTCTGGTCCTCCAACAGTCTGAGGGACAGTGAACTGGCCCGCTGTTTAAAAAGTCTGAGGACCCCTATACACAGGGTCCAACTCCAAGAAATCCAGAAAAAAGCAACAGCTGAGAAGTTACAGAGTGAGCAGAGATTTCAGCTGCTCACAAGTGCTGGGGTGACAGAGTTTTGGTTCAAGTAACACCAAATTAGAGATAATTTATAGATGTCTTTCTGCTGAAACCATAAAAGGGTCATAAGACCTTATCTATAATCAAGAACTATACCCCAGGATGAAGGGAAAAATTAAAATATGCCCACCCTAACAAAGCCCCAAACAGATCCTTCACAGAATCCACCAGTACAAAACTGAGCAGTCTTTAAGATCGCATAATCAAGAGTCTTTATAAGTTGTCATCTTTACCGGCCAGTATGAAATGAAATGTAATAACATAGGAAGAAACAGGAAAATGTGATTTTTCAACAAGAGAAAAAAAGGTCTGTACATGTTGATCTTCAGGTGGCCCAGATGATGGAATTAGCAGGCATGGACTATGAACTGCCTTATAAGTGAAGGATTGATTTACTGAAAAAGAAGGACAAAATGAGTGAAAAGATGACAGGCTCTCTGCAAATAGATAGAAACCTAAGTGAGAACCAAATAAAAATTTTAGAACTGGAAAATACAGTATCTGCAATGAAAAGGTCATTGGATGGGCTTAACAGCAGAATGGACATAATGGGGGGGGGAGATCATTTAATTCAAATTGTAATATACTAGTGCTCCCCAAATTTATCTATACAGTCTAATGCAGTCCCCAGGAGGCATTTTTATATAAATCGACAATTTTATTGTGAAATTGTACAAAAATGCAGCAGGACCTAGAATAGCCAAAATAATCTTAAGGTAGAAGGAGGAATAGAAGTGCATAAATTACCTCAAATTAAGACTATAAACCTACAGTGTAATATTGACATGAGAGTAAACAAATAGACTAATGAAACAAAATAGAAAGTCCAGAAAGAGACCTGTACATTTAGCCCATCAATTTTCTGCAAAGACACCAATGAAATTAATAGTAAGTAAAAGCCTTTTTAAAACCTGATATTGGAACAATTAGATTACTATATGAAGAAAAAGAACCTCAATCCCTACTTCATACCATAGTCAACAATTAAATTCAGATGAATCATAGATATAAATGTAAATATGTAAAAATTTCTAGCAGGCAACATAGAATATTTTCATAAGTTTGGGGTGAGAAGGTTTTGTAGATAGTATAGAAAAAGAACAAATTATAAAGGGAAAAATAAACCAATTAGATTTCATCAAAATCTTCTGCACATCAAAAAGCAACATTCATCACACATCACAGGTGTAAAATACAAAAGACAGCATTCAGAAAATGAGCAGGGAAGCCACTGACTGAGAGGAGGTAGTCACAAAATATATGCCTGCAGAGTACTGGTAACTAGGAGACATATGGACTCAATAACAAAAAGGCAAAATATGAGCAAAAGACGTGAATACACACCTCACAAGAGAAGAATTACAAATCGCCAATCAGTATGCAAAACATATTCATCATCATTAATAATTTAAAAACTACTGGCTGGGTGCAAAGGCTCATCCCTATAATCCTAGCACTGTGGGAGACCAAGGCAGGTGGATAGCTTGAGCTCACGAGTTTGTGACCAGCCTGAGCAAAAAGCGAGACCCTCATCTCTACTAAAAATAAAAAAGCTGAGGCAAGAGGATCACTTGAGCCCGAGAGTTGGAGGTTGCTGTGAGCTATGACACCACAGCACTCTACCTAGGGCGACAGCTTGAGACTCTGTCTCAAAAAATAAAAAAATTAGAAAACTAATAAAAACCACAATGAGATACTGCTACACCAATAAGAATGCTGAAAATGTAGAAGGTTGACAACAACAAATGGTTGTGAAATTGTGGAGTGACTAGAATTCTCATATGTTATTGATAGAAAAGTAAAGTACATTGTTCTCACAAAATTAAATATAAATGTTCCTTTTAACTCAGCAATTCCATTTCTGAGTATTATGCACTGAACATTTATGTACCTCGAAAATTCATATGTTGAAACCCTAACCTGCCATGTGATGGTTTTGGAGATGGGGAGGTGATTAGGCCTCCATGATGGGAGTGGTGCTCTTAGAGGAAGAGAGCAACAGAAACTTTGCTCTCTCCCTGTGTGTGCACAAAGGAGTATATGTGAATACGCAGACATGAGCCCACCCACAAACGTAGAGAAGATGCTTCAGAATGAAACCCTCTTGGCAAATAGATCTTGAACTTCCTAGCTGCTAAAATGGTGAGAAACAGACTTTGTTCTTTAAGCTACCCAATCTATGGTATTTTGTTATGGCAGCCAGGGCAGGCTAATGCACTACGATTTTGTGATGGCTCTGTACTGTGTCGTCTTAATTAAGTTAATCAGAATTTCTTTCCTTGTATGGTTGCAAGAGAGAAATTTACACAAGATTTGGCAGGCAGAAGTGAAGTAGCAGCTGTTATGCTCAGAAAGCTAGTAGAGGACCCCGGCCCTGACGGAGCTCATGTTCCTTGCTGCGGATCTGCTGGTCCGTTCTGTAGGGACACAGCAGCACCTTGGCCCACACCTACTCCAGCTCCCACTCATTTGAAAAAAGACCACAATTCAAATGGTATATGCCTCCACAGTGTTTCCTAAATTCTTGCCAAGAGATCAAACTTGAGGCTGTTAGAGTCTCTGGATCCAGCTGAAATTTTGCAAGAAATACAGAGGAACACGTTAAACTATACCAT